GGAGGCAGGCGCGGCGCGGATCCGGGGCCGAGGCCGGGGGACGTCGGGCCTGCGCGGCGGCCCGCAAGGACGCGGTGACCTTGAGACGGGCTGTTTTAGAAGTTTGGCTTTTTTAAAATGAGTTGGAACGGGGCTGAGGTCACCTTGACTGGAGCCGCCCCGTGTCCTCACGCCATTCCATTCATACTGTATTTACTTCTGCATACTACGCTGGCATGCCTGCCCTGTGCAATACGGTCCGTTTCACACTCTATACACACATACTATACTTTGTATAGTAATTATGCACTATATTACATAGTATTTTTATATACAATACATTTATATACTAAATAATAGTCTATAATAGTTATAGACTACATTATATAGTCTATTTTGTATATGTACTTATATGCTAAATAAGTTTATACCATGTATTCATGTACTATATTACGTATCTTATGTATATTTTATATTATATACTATATCAATAGTGTTTTTTATATATTTACATGCTATATAATATAGTATGTATGCAGGGCGCAGGTGGCTCATGCCTGTCATCCTAGCTACTCAGGAGGCTGAGAGTTGAGGATCGCCCAAGCAGGTACATCCGTGAGACTCTCATCTCCAATAAACCACTAGAAAACCAGAAGTGGCGCTGTGGCTCGAGTGGTAGAGCGCTCGCCTTGAGCTGAAGAGCTGAGGGACAGCGCCCAGGCCCAGAGTTCAGGCCCCATGACCGGCAAAAAAACAGTATGTATACTATGTTATATATCTATGAACTATATTAGTATATTTTATATAATATACTAGTGTATTTTATATATATTTATGTACTATATAATATAGTATATTTTATATAATACATACATACTAGTGTATTTTGTATGTTATATATTTATATATAATGTATATTTTTCATATTACAATATGTACTAGTGTATTATATACTATATAATACATATCTATATGCTATATTATATATTTTATGTATTATTTTGTTACAATACTAAAGTATATTTTATACGTTTATATATTTTTATTACCTTTAATAGTTCTACATGCTGGTGGCTCAAGTGGTAGAGTGTCAGTCTTGAGCAAAAGAAGCTCAGGGACAGCTCCCAGACTGAGTTCAAGCCCCAGGACCTCAAAGAATAAAATAAAATTGCTGTACAAAAAGGGAGACTCTTCAAAATGGCAGTCTGAGAGTACAATGCCTCTTGATCATTCTCCTCCATTCCTTCCAACCCATCTCCTCTATTTTCTGTCTTCTTTTGTCACTCATGGGGCTTGAACTCAGGGCCTGGATACTGTCCCTGTACTCTTTCCCTGAAAGCTAGCCTTCTACCACTTAGAGCCACAGTGCCACTTCATTTTCCAGTGGTTCCTTGAAGATAAGTGTCTCATGGACTTTCCTGCCTGGGCTGGCTGGAATCATGATCCTCAGATCTCAGCCTCCTGAGTAGTTAGGATGATAGGTGTGAGCCACCCGCGTCGGGTAAAATTGACTTCCAAGTATTTGAGTTTCATCTTTTTTTGTTGTTGTTATTGGTCATGGGGCTTGAACTCTGGGCCTGGGCGCTGTCCCTCAGCTCTTTAGCTCCAGGCGAGCACTCTACCAGTTGAGCCACAGCACTTCTGGCTTTTTCTGCTTATGTGGTGCTGAGGAATCGCACGCCCAGGGCCTCATGCATGTGAGGCAAGCACTCTGCCCCTGAGCCACCTTCCCAGCCCTTGGTTTTCGTCTGTAATGCAAGTGGGCAGGCCTTTATGACCCGTGACCTCCGCAAATTCTGACTCTGACAGGATGCAGAAAAGCACTTCAGGAAGGTTTGAAAGTGGGAGTGCAATTCCAGTTCTCACCTCCAGATGTCACTGCAGCTCAGTAATTAGAAATGAGGTCATTTCTGGGTAACTGTAGCAGCTGGGTCACTGTAGCACCCCCACATGCTCAAGTGGCTCATATAAAATGGCACAATATTTGTTCAGAACCTGTGCACCTCTTGTGCAGTTAGCTCTCCATGACTTATTTTTCTGTCAATCATGTGGCTTGAACTCTGGGCCTGCGCGCTGTCCCTCAGCTCTTCAGCTCAAGGCTGGCGCCCTACCACTTGAGCCACAGCACCACTTCTGCTTTCTCTGCTCATGTGGTGCTGAGGAATCGAACCCAGGGCCTCATGCATGCAAGGCAAGCACTCTACCACTGAGCCACCTTCCCAGCCCCTTACTAGGGTTTTTTAAGAAGCTGACAAGTCAAACATCCAAAGTTTGTACAGCACTGTGTAACCTTTAGTAAATGTGAGTCATTGCTTCCATGTGGTAGATTCCATTTCACTGTAGTTCCTATCAGAGGTATATTCTGTCATTTTCTTGGAGTCTAATTTTTCCTAATACTCTCCAGAATGATGGCTTTGCCTAAGCTGAAATAAATACAAGACACCTGATGCATTCACTCCCTTTAATAACAATACTCATACCATGTTATTACCATGGAATGTAAGTTCAGGTTAGATGAGAGAACTTTACAAGTGTTCTAGAACATTCTGTACCACATCAAACTTTGTGTATCGTGTTTCAGCAAACTTGTTTCCATTTCTAGTAGCCTATTTAACATTGAAAAACAGTTCAATTATCTTTTTTTTTTTTTTGGTTCCGGCTGTGGGGCCTGAACTCTGGGCCTGGGCGCTGTCCCTCAGCTCTTCAGCTCAAGGCTAGTGCTCTACCACTTGAGCCACAGCGCCACTTCTGGCTTTTTTCTTTTTCTTTATGTGGTGCTGAGGAATCGAACCCAGGGCCTCAGGCATGCAAGGCAAGCACTCTACCACTGAGCCATCTTCCCAGCCCTGTTCAATTATCTTTGTATTCGCTCTTAAAGGACCTATTTTCTCGGCTGGGATATAGCTCTTTGGTAGATTGCTTGCCTAATATGTACGAAGCTTTAGATTGATTCCTAGCATCAAAAAAAAATGAAAAAATGAAAAAGCAAGCAAACAAAATGATCTCTATATCAAAATGACATTGAAGCCAGGTACTGGTGGCTCACACCTGTAATCCTAGCTATTCAAGAGCCTGAGAGGTGAGGATCATGGTTAAAAACCAGCCCAGGGCAGCCAATCTGTAAGGCTCTTATTTCCAATTAACCAGCAAAAAGCCAGAAGTGGAGCTGTGGCTCAAGTAGTAGTAAGAGTGCCAGCCTTGAGTGAAAAAGCTAAGGGACTGTGCCCAGGCCCTGAGTTCAAACCCCAGTATTGGCACACACAAAGACCTTTAAAAATGATTCTCATACAACATCAGCAAAATATATAATTCTGCAATTCAAAAACAGTAAATCGGGGATCTATAATTAAAGTTCTCACATTTACAAGTGTGGGCCTAAAATACCGCTCTTCTTATCACCTCATGAAAGCTTTTCAGGTTTGGTTTAAATATATAAAACACATGTATGTACACACACAAGTAGAAAACTTTCACTTGTGAAGATCTGTAAGTTTCTATTTCATGCACGTAGTTGAAAAAGAGTTTTTCAGGAGCCAGCAAACACCCTACAAACTGGACTCCTCAAGTAAAATGACTTGGGCTAACCCGATTAATACGTAACACACAGGCACGTAGCACTTTCTGCAGCATGATGAAGCACTTCCAGACCAGAAGCTGTCATTTTAAAACCAATTTTTGTCCTAAGGGCTTAAAGAAGAAGATGTAGTGGCTCACGCCTGTAATCCCAGCTACTCAGGAGGCTGAGATCTGAGGGTCGCTGTTCAAAGCCAGCCCAGAGTAGATAAATCTAAGTGACTTAATCTCCCAATTAATTAGCAAAAAAAGCTAGAAATGGTGGTGTGGCTCAAGAGTGCCAACTTTGAACAAACAATAAAAAAGTTAAAGGATATAAAGAGGTTCTGAGTTCAAGTTCCAGTACCTGCACCAAAAAAACAAAAAACAAAAAAACCAAAACCATTTGAACACAACCAACCAGGTACATTTAGTGACACTGATTTTTTTTTTTTTTTTTTGTGGTAAGGCCTCCCCAGGGTAACCTAATTAAAACAAAAAAAAAAAAATCAAGCTGAAAAATAAATTTAAAAGCCCATTATTGAAAATACCGTGTTATCTCTGGAACACACTCAAATCATTTATTGCTATCATCAACAGGAAACCTCAATATGAGATGTCTAATTAAAGCAAGCTCTTTCACAACAGGACACACACAGCATCTCTTCTTCTAAGGTTTAGGTTTCGCCCAGAATTCCTTGTACATGGAATAGCCCATACCTAAAGAAAGAAAACGCTTGTGAGCCATTGGAAGATTTTCTTCAACATTAAGGAAATACAAAACAGCTAAGAATACTAACGAATAGAGGAAAATCCTTGTAGGTATAAACTCCAGATTTCCCAAATAATTTGTGTGTGTGTGTGTGTGTGTGTACTGGGGCTTGAATTTAGAGCCTAGTGCTCTCCCTTAGCTTTTTCACTCAAGGCTAGCACTCTACCACCTGAGCCACATCTCCACTTCCAGCTTTTTGCCAATTAATTGGAGATGAAAGTGTCTTAAGATTTGTCTGCCCTGGCTGGCTTCAAATGAAGATCCTCAGATCTCAGCCTCCTTAGGAGCTTGGATGACAGGTATGAGCCACTGCCACCTGGCTTAACAATTTACATCTCTAAGTCTTTTTGTTGTTCTAGTTGTTGGTTCTGGGGCTTGAACTCAGGGCCTGGGCACTGCTCCTGAGCTCTTTTGCTCAAGGCTAGTGCTCTACCAGTTTGAGCCACAGCTCTACTTCCAGTTTTTGTTTGTAAACTGTTCACTGGAGATAAGTGTCTCATAGACTTTCCTGACCAGGCTGGCTTTCAACTGTGAGCCTCAGATCTCAGCTTCCTGAGTAGCAGCAATTGAAAGACACTGGCCTAATTTTATCAAGGTTAGTTGAAAGTCATCTACCTCACACAATGATGGGGGAAATCACAAATTTGAAAATGGCTGGTTGGAACCTACCGAGGGTCATGGCTCCCACGACGAAGCCTTGGGCTGCTACTCGCATGTGGATGAGGTGAACAGACATTTTTGTGTTTCCTCTACTCTTCAGC